TACAGGAGGCGCCGGAGTGGGCTTGGGGTGGGGGCGCCCAACCCAGCGCAAGGCGGGGGGCGCTCTCCAGCCTCGAAAGACCCGTTGGAAGGGAACGGTGGGGGAGGGCATGCCGTTCAGACAATCGCCACCCCCTCGGGGTTTTCCCCGCCCCCCGGTGGAGTTTGAAGGTGGATTTGGGGTAACCGCGGCAACGCTGATGGGAAAACTTCTGCCTCGGTGGCCCCAAATCTTTCTGGAGCTCGTAAGGTTTCATGAGGTCTGGCCGGCTGGCCTTGCCGGCTTACTGCAAAGCCTTTTGCACATTAAAGGTGGAGATCTGAATAGGGAACGGGGCCGTGGTCGTTTGCTTAGAGTTCGGGGTTCATTTTTATTTTCTTGTTGAGGACAGCAGCGTTTTTCAAGCCCGTGGTTTCGTCCGGCACAGTGTTTCCCAAAGTCTGGTCCAGGGACTGAGCGCAAACCAGCCACCTGGGAGCTGAAGCGCTTATTTAAAAACAAAAAGCAAAAAAGCAAAAAACCTCTCTGGGCCCCACCCATTCAGTGAGGGGCTGGGTTTGAGGGAAGGAGGGGGATCTGCCCACCTTACCCTGGCGATTCGGATGCACGTAAAGTTTGAGAACCCCTGGCGCAGGGGTTTGCAGACACTTGGCACGTAGTAAGCACTTAGCTTGTTAGCTGTTAACTGTTAACAATTTTGGAGACGCTGGCCCCCAAACTTGGCTATGTATTCCTCGCATAACTTGAGAAAAGCACAGATTTCCCGGAACGCCAGCCCCCATGTACCCCTCCTCCATTATGACTGTCTCTGAAGTGGGGCTCAGATATGTATGTTTAAACACCCCACCCCACCCCCGACCCCCGTTGTTCTGATGCCAAGACCGGTCTGGAGGACTTTGCAGAGATAAAGGAATTCTTTTTGTTGAGGTGAGCACAGACTGCCCTTGTTTTTTATTTGGTCTCAGTTAATTCTCATTACAGATTTTCAGAGGGGATACTTTCAAATTCAAATAGAGCACTTCAGCAATAAGCCCACCAGGTGGCATGCTGGGGGGTGGCAATCCCCGTGCTGGCCTTTTACAAGGACCAACTCATTTAATCCTCATAACCATCCTAGGAGGCAGAACCCTCTCCCCGTTTCATCCTGGGCATCAGTATTATTTGACCATTAAAGAATCCTCAGCGATGCAACAGGCTACATCTCTTGGTTTCTTACCTTCCTGTTAATCCCGTGGGCACAGGAAGGTGGTGTTTCAGAGAAGAAAAGGGTCCATTCCCTCCATCCACTAATTTCAAAGTACTTAAGTGCACAGGGTGTTCTGCAAGATGGCTTATAAAACATTACCATACTCAGCCCAGAGCACCTTTTCTTAGCAAGTCAACCAAATGGTATTTCCACACAGAGATGTCTTGGTTGGAAGGGGGAAATTGGATACAATGCTCATATTTTAGAAATTTTCATAAAATTATGATGCATGGGTGCCAACTATATATGCACAAAGGTAGTTCTCATACTATTTAGACTTGGGGAAAATTGGAAATAATATGAAGACCTTATAGTTACTGAGAAATTATGAGGCATGGGAAACATGGAATAATGTGCTGTCATTAAATAATTACATTTATAAAGAGATTTTAGTGATATAGCACAATATTTATGCAGTATTACGTGGGGGAAAGATTAAATTACAACACATTATGATCTCAAACAATTTTAATGGAAAATAATTTTTAATTGAAAATGAATGGAAAGAAATATTTTGTAATATTCATGGTACACATAAGTGATTTCCCTCCCAGCTTCTTCTCTTCCAAATTTTCTGTTATAAACATGACTTTACTTGTAATGAGGCAAACAAAGATTTTAAAATAAAAATTAAGGTAGTCATATTAGAGACTTATTAACTATATTTCTTTATTTAACAAACATTTATATAGCACTTTCTAATATAGTGCCAGGACTGTGGTAAGTGCTTTGCAAATGTTAACACAGTATTAACTCTTGGTATTATTACTATTGAGAAATAATGTCTCTCTCAGTTAGGAATGAATTTTGGCTACAAGTAACAAAACTCAACTATACTGGCCTAATGAAAAGTCTGGAATTGTTTGATTCCAAGGTTGATTCAGGGAATCAGTGAAGTAAGCTTCTGTAGGGATCTTAGCATTTACCTCATGGTTACAACATGGCTGCAAAAGCCCCTGGCATCACAACTGCTTTCAAGGCCCGAAGAAGAGGGGGACAGTCCCAACCATATCAGCTCCTTTTTTATCACAAAGCCACACTTTTCCCAGAAGCTCCTCCAGCATTGTGCTAGAGGGGTTCCCAAGTATGTAGGGGACCAAGATTATTTAGACTAGTGGTTCTCATGATTGTGGAGGGGGTTGGGAAAGTGGGGGCATTGGTTTTCATAATGACTGGGAAGTACAACTACCATTTAATTGGAACAGGAGATGCCTGCTGATCCTTTGAAGTGCAGTGCAGAACGCTGCACGTTGAAAAACTTTCTTGCATAAAAATGCCACTAGTGCCCCTGTGGGCAATAATCAGGAGCACCACCTGGGTCTGGGTACATTGCTGCTGGGACAGAACTGGGATCCTGTTTGCAATGAAGAAGAGGGGAGTCGAATGGATATTGGGCCAGTAACTAGTCATGCCTGCCACCATGTCCTTTTTCCTACCATGAATCTGGTTTGTGTAGTAATTTCAACCTATTTGGAATTCATCCGTGACTTTCCCTTTGTCCCATGGAGTTCCAGGTGGCACAACAGTGCTGGTTGAGCTGACTCCCGACATCCACATCTGTGGCATCTGCAAGCAGCAGTTTAACAACCTGGACACCTTTGTCGCTCACAAGCAAAGTGGCTGCCAGCTGACCAGCACGTCCGGGGCAGTGCCTAGCACCGTCCAGTTTGTATCAGAGGAAACAGTGCCTGCCACCCAGACGCAGACCACCACACGAACCATCACCTCGGAGACCCAGACGATCACAGGTATGGCTGGGGGGTGAGAGGAAGTCACTTAGAGTTAACCTGTGTCCCAAACGCCTCCACAGAGCTTGTTAAAAATACAGATACCCAGGGCCCACCACTGAGGGTTGCTGATTCATTATTTTTAACAAGCTCCACTGGGAAGCCAGCTGCCCAGCCAGGTTTGGGAGCTGCTTGGTTAAAGCTTTAAGTGGTAGCAGTTATAAATTGTCATGTGCTAAACAAAAACAGGCAAAAATCAAGTTTCTAAAACAAAAACCTATATACTAAGAAAAAAATACTTGCAAGAAATGATAAAAAGGGAAAAGTATTTTGGGTGATGGGAATATGTATGTGATTCCTGAATTTGCAAAGGGACGAAACAGTGATTTTTTAAAAATTATTAAATCTATAAACACACATTGATGCCTCCCCTCCCCTGTACTACCAACAAGAAGACAGAAAAGTACATCCTAGTTCTTGGTTGTGTCCAAAATAAGGTTCAGATGGATCCAAAATTTAAATCTACACAATGAAACTGTAAAAGTTCTAGAGTAAAAATTACACACACAGAAACACACATGTGCACACACTCCCCTCATACTTATACCTATACGATCTGCCTTAAGGGACCAGAGAACTTTAAAAACAGAAAGTAACCCATTTATGAGATAGTAGAGACACTGCTGGATCCCATGGGGAAATGGAGAATGTATTCCCTAGCTGATTTTTAATTTAAAAAATACATTTATTAAAACTGTGCCCGTCAAGGAAGACAAGTTGTGGGATCCTTCCCCCAAAAGAAAAAGAATTATGTTATGTGGCTGCAAATGAAGTTACTATTTTTCCAAAGTAAAAACAGTGTATAAAAAAATCTAAAGACAAATAATTGGGGGAAAAAATCGCAGCACATACATGACTTGTCCCTCATATATAAAGAACTCCTAAAAATCAATAAAAGAACCAAGTGGAAAAGTCAGCCAAGGGCAGCAGATGATATTCAAGAGCTGCTAAACATAAAAGGATATGTCATTGCCTTGGTAATTAAAGAAATGCAAATCAAAAGAAGGCTTAGGGCCAAGGTACCACTTTCCTTTCCTTTCTGGAGATGTAAATTCATGTAACCTGGGCAATTTTGTGGTATCTTTCAAACTTTAAATCTTACATTTAAAATCTTTTCAAATTTTAAAATGTACAGAAACACATATACACAACAAGTCCACTTCTAGGTATTTATCCTATAAAACCTGATAAACAAGTGTGCAAGGTCATTTGCTTACAGTATATACTATAAAGAAAATGGAACCTTTGTATGTATATGTCAAGAGGAAATTAGATGAATAAATACTAGAGATGAATAATGAATAGTAATCTAACAATTTATTAAATGAATACATTCAGACAATGGAATATGACTTAGCTTTGAAAAGGGGCACTAGATCTGTGTACAGACATAGATTCTCAAGGTGAGTGTGAAAAAGCACACATATGTGTACACACATGGTATTATATTCACAGAAAGCTTCTAGAACAGGAATGAAGCAGGCAATGTTAATGAGAGAAGTAAGCTGTGCACAAGGTATCAGGGAATGGTGGGGACTGTGGTAAAGTGGAGAAAGCTACTCTTCAGATCCAGTTGGTTAGAAATTTGGGTTTGTCTGAGAAACTGAAAAATGTAAAATTCCCCAAGTTTTAAAACTTTGTTGACCAAGCAAAACACATCTGTGAGCCTGACTGAGCCCACCAGCAACTTCTAGCCTGTTCTCAGTGTTTACCAAGTAGTTAATCTGGGGCTGCAGAGCAGAGGACATCTGAAGTGGGGGTACCAGCTTTCACCTTGTCAGTCGTATATTGATGTGGTATGCGAATTTTTCAGCAAAGTAAGCAAAGTTTTGTGGTTTCTTTAATGCATCCAACATGTTTCTGCTGAATTTTTTAAGCATTGAAATATAATTGATCACCTCAGAAACTGCAGTAAGATTACCTTGAGATCTTCCCACTTTCTCTTGCGTTTATCTTAATTCTCATCTTAGAGAAAGTCACCAAGAAAATGTTAAAACTGAATACTGCCTTAGAGTTGGTCCTGGTATAAACTTCTCATTTGACAGCTGGACAAAGTAAAGCTGCAAGTGGGCATGAGACATGGCCAGGGTCCCACCACAGGTTCAAGACAGTCCTGGGACTTCAGCACTTTGGCCCTTACCCTAGTGGTCTTCTGCCTGGAGACTTCGTGTTCGGTCCCCTGTCCTCAGAAACAAACTCCCAGTAACGCCACACACCGGGTGTGAAGCCTGTGACACGAGGGCCCTGCGTGAGGAGGGTTCAAGGGCCACACTTTGTCTATGGCCTTTGCATCTTTCTGGGTTCTGAGCCTTTGCTTATGCTGTTTCCTCTGCCTGAAATACCTTTCCTGCCTTTGCCTGGCTGATGCCAAGTCAACCTCAGAACTTTAAGGTTCAGGACAGTCTACACAGGGAGAATCTGGCTTCCTCTCAGGACAGTCCCTTACCCTCTGAATTACCATAGCTGCAATCTCCTTTCTGTCTTCCAAATGAGCCACGTTTCCTTATGCCTCAGAGCCTTTGTATGTGTTGTTCCCTCCGCCTGGGACTGACAGTTCTTATGCATGCATCAGAGCTGGGCTTAAACGCATTTCCTCAAAGGGCCCCTCTGACAACACCCACCGCGTGCACACTGTTCTCCCAGACCAGGTCCCGTAATTAAATGGTTGTTTGCAGAACAAACTTAAGGTCTGTCCCGTCACTGACCCATAAGCACCGTGAGGTCAGGGCTTCCCCCCTCCTGTTCACCATGGATCCCAGCACCATATTCTAGGCACTTACTTATTCTTTAGGGGCATGAACACACAATTGCCCAAATCTCACGTCCATCAGTAAAGCTGACCTCACACCAAATAACTGCTCCTTCTGCCCTAGTTGTCTACTCAGAGATGGTCACCCTTCTCTTAGCATGTCTACTGTGAGCCATGCCCCAGTGCTGTTGACTGCCCTGTACGGTCAGGCCGGGCCTGGAGTCCTCTTGTGCCCAGCTCCCAGTGGCACCCACTGCACTGGGTTGATGGGAGCTCCAAGCCTTTATCCCAGTCTGCCAACCTAGACTGCGGGCAAGTCGCTTACTCTCTCTGCTTCATATTCGTCACCCGTGAAAAGGGGTTATAATGGTACCTAATACTATTAGGTGATAGAATTAGGTGCCTGGTATCGTTGGGTTATTGTGAGGACTCTTCAATGAGCCACATAAAGGACCTGGGACAGAGTCACTTGGGCTCAATAAACAGCTGTTTTATTAATGGAGAGATGAATGAGCAGGTGGTGGGTGCATGGTGCAATGTGTGGGATGCCCTGTCTCGGCCTGACTCAGCTGCTCCTGATTTCTCCTGTGTCTTTGCCACAAAACAAGCGGACTCTTGCTTTTTCCCTTCTTTTACACCCTTTATTTTGGTTTACTGGGCCCGACTCCCCTGAACTTTGGGCTTCCATGTCCCACTAGAAGCAGTCCCCAGACCTGCCTGTGGACCACAGTCCCCGGGGAGCTTGTGAAACACACTGGTACCTGGGCTGTATCTCTGAATCTGAGTCACTGAGGCTTGGGTTGAGGCATCTGCATTTTTAACAAACTCCCAGAGAGGAGAGGGTGTAGCTCAAGTGGTAGAACACATGCTTAGCATGCATGAGGTCCTGGGTTCAATCTCTGGTACCTCCTCTGAAAAATACATAAGTCAAATTAACTACCTCCCTCCCCCCAAAATAAAAATAAAAGATGAATAAGAGGCTTTTAAAAAGCAAACAAACTAAAAAACTCCCGGGAGATTGCATGTCTCAACTCAGTTGGAGAGTCACTCACTGCCCAAGGCCACAGTTCGACCCCCAACCCTGGCTGATCCCACCCAGACATGAACTGGGGGTATTGGTCCCTCTTTGGCACTCGATTAAACCAACCCTTTCCTTGCTCAGCTCGTATGTATGTAAAGTAAAATTTTGACCCAGTATGTAAAGTAAAATTTATTCTCTGCCTGCTAGCTTCATAAGATACCTGTTTGGCATTTAAGAATCTTCCTGTAGAAGCAGTAGAATTAGCTACTGATGCTGGTGAAAAGAATTAGCACATCCTACATGCATTTTCTGAGTTTATGACTTAAAATCACGGGGCTCTGGAATCAGGCCCCTGAGTGTGAGTCTTGGCTGCTTAGGGCCTTAGGAGCTGTGTGACCAGTGCAAGTTAAAAGAGCTCTTGGTGTCCCATTTTTAAAGTGGGGACAAAAATAAATAGAAAGGCCATGGAGTTTGGTAGTGACAAGTCCGGGGTCCTGAGCCAGCCTGCCTGGGCTCAGATCCCGGCTGCAGCACTTGCTAACCAGGTAACCCTGGGCACGTGACTTAGGGTCTCAGTATCTCCGTTTCCCCAACTGAGAAATGGGTGGGGATGATGATGGTACCGACCTCACAGGGTCCCAGCCAGGCTTCAGTGGGCTTCTGCACAGAAGACACTTAGAGCCATCAGGGTTAGCTCTCATTGCTTACCGAATCAGGGGGCGGTGAAAATTAAACAGCACACAGAAATTTTTGCAAAGGGCTTGGCTCATGGCAAGCCGACAGCTGATATGAGTTGAATTATCCCTGGACCCAGAATGATCTCTCCCACCTCTTCTGGTTGATTTCTACTCTTAGGTCCCAGAATAAAACTCACCTTCACCTAGAAGCTGGCCATGATTCCTCCCTGTCTCCCACACCCCACCCCAAGGTTAGATTTTTCACTGCTTCCCCACCGAGCACTTATCACAGTTGCAGTTAACTTGTTATTTGGTATCAAGCAGTCTTTAGTTAGCCAGAGAAGTGAATTCAGATGCTCCCGGGGTTCAAGTGGTGGCAGTGAAGGCAGCAACAGATCTGCTGTGGTGGAGGGTGGGCGGGCCTGTGGACCACCGGCAGAGGGAGAGGAAGGCACCCTCCAACAGGCAGGAAGCATCGTCAGCGGGGCCCTGGTGGTGCTGGGGGCTGGCTGGC